ACACACACACACACACACACACACACACACACATATATATATATATATTAATACATATATATATTATAATATATATATATATAAATATATATATATATATGTATATATATATATATATATATAGATATAGTACTCGCCGAGCTATGAAGTTTAGAATGCAACGTACCTTGTACCTCCTCCGAATTCATTGTTTCAACAAAGCGACCCATATTACGCTGTAACACCTCTTGTACGTGGCTATGGAGGTGTAGTACAAACCGGTGTACATCAGCTGACCTATAGGGACAAGCATGCGCGTATATATCAGCACTCACATATCTAAGTATACTTGCTGAAATTTTGTGTATATATGTGTCTGTTTGGCGTGTGTGGATACTTGTACATGTGCTATGAGCGGCACAAATGAGAATACACTTGGCGGCGATGCTGTTCGCATACCTTCTGGATAACAGGGAGGTCTGCTGTGAGATCTCCGAGTTGGGGAAGGACATGATGGCGGGTTCAATGCGTGTCCTTATTGTTGCATGCGTGATATTCTCTATGTATATATACAAGCATATGTACGCAGGATTATATAACAACTTCTATATCTGAAAGTGTAGGCACAATATGGTGCAATATAAAAGTAATACAACATGTACTATTCTGATATCAGTTTATACGCATATGTATCAATATAGTTATAAATAAATACATATGTATTTATTTGTAATAACACACTCGATGGCTATCAAGTATCAGCTCTATCACTTGGTCCGCGATTTCGCGATAGTCCCTGTGGGCCTTGGCCATCGGCCGCGCCACAAAAATTGATGACGTGCAAGATCTGTGTCGATAAGTGTAAGTATTAGTTTCAACTAATTTAAAATAGCTCTGAATTAGTGGCATATTCATTTTGAAATTGCGCGTTTCTATTGATTTCCGCCAATAGGCAAGGTACCTACGCGCCGATCTAAAGAAAGCGCGGGCTTTTCATGATTAGTTAGTTACGTGTAGAGTTGTGTAAATAGGTCACTTATAGGTGAGTTAGGTATTTACATAGGTCTAAATACTCTAGGTCTCTGTACATACCTAAAATAAATACTAAAAAGACCATATATATATATATATATATATACATATACATGTATATATAAATAAAACATATATTACATCTATTTGTACACTTAACTTGTATGTCAACACAGTATCTATATATTTTCTATATACAAAGATAACGGCATAAGCTTTGCCATACTCTTGCATAAGTGTGCTCAAATCGCGTACAAACCTCACTATCTGTATACTTATCTATAACTTCTATCTGCAATCATGGATCTACTAACTGAGCTCGCAATCCCCAAAATATACGCCGAGGAGGGCACCGGCGAGGCCAATGCGATGGTAGGATGCAAGGTGCAGATCGTTACTATGAAGAAGGTACAACCTACATCCAATAAGACCGCCACAGAACGCTGGCGTCTGTGTATCTCGGATGGAAAGTGGTTTCTAGCAGCCATGTTGGCCACCCAATTGAACAACATGGTGAACGACGGACACATTAAGAAGGGTACTATACTCATGCTGAATAACTATTTGTGTAACACCGTACGCGAGAGGAAAATTGCTATTCTTCTGGATGTGACCGTGGAGTCTAACGAGCACTTAGGCATCATTGGCGATCCCCAGAACTACGATCCCGTCAGCACCGCGGGTATGTCAAGCTATAGCCTACAGATCTTCGTTACACGAATTCACAGTATTATTATGAGTATCCTGACGATATGGTATGTAAATAATTCTCCACTTTGTATTTCAATAGCCTGTTTAACCGTGTGTACCTAGGTATTGTGCAATGTTTCACTGGATACTCTTTTTGACTACATTCCGCGATGCTCGTTCGGCGGTGGGGGGTTTTTTTTTGCTGAATTGCGTTAAGATTACTTATCCGGTGTTTCAACCTGTTAAACAACGCCATTGCTGCGCGTTTACTATACGCCAATGCCACACTGTCGTACTCCAGGCATGTTTGAAGTCCGTTGTGTATTGTGCTTAATACATATATTTATTGCATACTTGTTATATATATCATTAGTATGCCGTGCGTGCGAGTTAACCTGATTGCAATTTAACCACTGTTTTCACTTTATATATAATCTGAAAGGGAGTACGGTAGATTTGGTATAGAATTTACGCACGAGCGCTCGATTGCTACAGGGTTACGTGAACGCTGGTAGAATGTGCCCTAGCCTTGTCGTCTGGAGCTCTTGCCTGTTCTCATAATCTATTGGCTTATATTTCATTTTTCTTGGCAGCGACAGTCTATATAGATTATATTTTATACGAAGATGTCAATGTCAAGATATATATATGCGCATCTATGCAGCTTCTTGCTAGCCGTGTTTAGTTCTGCATTTTTTTAAAGTGACCATGCATGAGTTAGTATAGTTACCTGTGCCCTTCTATACTTACAGCAGCACAAAGCACCCAGAACGCTCAGAACGCTCCGGTGAAGAGTGAAGTCAAGCCCAACCCCCCAATGAATAAACCCCAGCCGTCATACAACAACAATAACAACAACAGCAGTTATAACAACAACAACAACATGATTAATAACACGAGAGTCACTCCTTCGCCCAGTCGTGGCGGTGGCACCACCGTACCCATTAAGTCACTGAATTGTTACCAGAACAGATGGTCAATCAAGGGTATGTATGCATGTGTGTTAGAGGTGATATGGAAAATGTATGTATGTTTTATTGTGGATGATCTGACAGGGGTATATATACACATACACACACTTATATATATATATATATATATAAATATAAACACAAACGCATACACGTGTACACACACACACACTCATATATATATATATATGTATACACACACACACTACACACACACACACACACACACACACACACACACACACACACACACACACAC